ACAACCATTCGTGGGACACAACCATTCGTGAGACATAACCATTCGTGAGACACAACCATTCGTGAGACACAACCATTCGTGAGATACAACCATTCGTGAGACAAAACCATTCGTGAGACCCAACCATTCGTGAGACACAACCATTCGTGAGACACAACCATTTGTGATTCACAACCATTCGTTAGCGTGTCAAGAAGAACGATTCCCGGCACTCTTTACATTGTGGGTTAACAGGTATATTGCCTGGATGGTTGCCCTGTTGTGTCAGAATGGATTCAAATGAAGATATCGTGTTTCGCGTTTCAAAATTAACCCACAGCTGGTTATACGCTGATGCTTAATTCGGTAGCTTTAACTGATAATAAAATGTGCACATTAACTTAAAACGATTATTCACTTGACTAATTTTTTTTCAGTACTTTAATTAGTTTTGTAGGTAAGTGTCCCAGGAAGGGGTAGGGGGGGGGGGGGGGGTAAACAATCTAACCTGCACCGGTCGTGGTGTCTGCCTACCCATTCAGGACCGCCTTGTCCGACACTGTCCTTCCGAATTCAAGCTAATAATCCAATCATCGTGAGAAGGGAAACAATTGGAGTACATCATGGGAAAGTTGAACGGAAAGAAAGGCGGGGGAAGACCGAGAGAGAAGATAATGAACAGTTTGATTTCTTTACATGGAGGATCATTTGTGTCAGAAACAGAAGATTGTAGATATACATTACTATAAGCGCCACACGAATGGACTTTAGGAAAAAGAATTAAATTGTTTCAGTTAAGTGGCCTTCAAGTGCATTATCAGTGACCACAAAAGTCAGGAAACCTTGTCTTTAGTTGTTGGAGAGACAATATTCCATTTGGAGATGATAGACAGACAAAGAATAAGAACATCAGCAGCAATCAAAAACTAACCTCCCAGCTTTAACAATCTAACAGCGTTCAATACGACTGCCATACATATGACCAGGGCCTTAATTTTCTGGTGATACGCAGGGGTACGCTAGACAATACCACAATGTGTTTGTCCGCGCTACTGTAGTTGACACTTTGTGATAAGTACTAACATCTTTGTTAGACACTTTGTGGTAACCACCGGTACTATTTTTCCTTTAAAAAAAAGGAGCGGCAAGCTTCACTGGGAAGGTCACCGGTAGTGAGCATACTTTGGATCTTTTCTCCCCGTCATGCCGGCGTAGTGGGTAAAGAACTGGCAGACAGATTGTCTGGATCTGCACCACTAGGTGGTGAATTGATACATGACAAGGCAGATGTGGCCAATGTCCTTTGGGACCAAGCAACGGAATTAGTAGAGAAACAAGATTATTATGGCCTGGAGAGAATGAGGCACCTGGGTGTAACCAGAGGGTCTGGCCGGCTCACTACACTCAAAAGAAAGGCAAGACGGACAAATAACCAGATTGTGACAGGTACCATCAGTATTAGAACTCTGCACTGGCTGCTGAAGATGAGGACGGAGGGCGCGTGGGTATGCCCTCAGTGCTGTGATGTCAATTCTTGACTCAACTTAACTTAACAAAAAAGTCTTACCTTTAGCGCGCATCTTACAAATGTTTTGCTGAATGACAAACCAGTTGAATCCAAATGGTCTACCTAGGGTTGATGGTTTTGGTTGTGGTGTGGCCTGTAGAAAAACCACTTGCATGCTTGAAGGTAGGATGGCAAACAGAAACTTCCATGACTTGCATGCGTTGATGCATCACTAGAGACCTCAAGAGCTGATGGAACTGAAAATACGTAAGTTAGCTATAATACTATATAATTTAGACTTTTATGCTTTATAAGTCTTGTAAAAAGTTCATTTACATTGTCTATGAATATACACATATTTTGTTTTAATTTTCCTGGCAAATAAAAAAGATTTTGCAAATCCCCATTGATGAAGGGGGGAACAGACCCACTACACCCCCGTCCCCTTGTTTTATAAAGCATGTCGTAAAAGTTGATTAACTAGGAGTGTTTTCTTCAAAGTCGGAATGCATCTGCCTGAGGTGTAATGAAACAACAGTCTGCTTACAAATAGGTCAGATCTGTTAAACATGTGTGCACGCAAAATTCAAGTTCTGAAAAGAGACCAAATTCCTAAAGCGGACGAACAACCATAACTTTCCGCCGAAGTTTATAGTTGGTGAATACCAACTGAAAGAATAGATTCGAAAATTGAACTGAACTGAACTGAATTTCTACCCCACCAGGACATCACACAAGCGATAAACACCCGATGACACAAAGTGCCACCATGTGGATGAGGATCGCCGTGGAGAGGTCCCAGAAACCGCGTTCAGACATTTGGCCATATATGGCCTGCCTATATTGCGGCCCCTGGCAAAAGCCAGAGTAGGGCTTCAAATGACAAAAAATGTCGTCCTAAGAAGGACGAAGTTAGAATAAGAACATATTCATGATTCGAAAATTCCTTTGCTCTCAAAAACAAACTCCCTCTACCTGTCACATGACTGTCACGTGACCGAAAAAGGGACTACTATAGATAGACATTTTCAAGATGGCAACTTTGTTGTCTGTCTTCAGGTTAGCAGACGATGCTGTGCTTTCTTTGTACTCGCACTTTAGTTGTCCCATATCAATTATTGTAAATAGTTTTTAGCTTGGATTTCGACTTATCTTATAACATACATATTACAACATTTCAATTAACATGCTAATTGCATGTGAAACTTTTTTTTCTTCTAATGGGCAAAATTGGTAAACAATATGAAATATTTAAAATATGCTTGACCAGATAAGATAAATCAGTCCTGAAATGTCTTTCTCTCTCTCTCTCTCTCTCTGTGTGTGTGTGTATAACCGCTCGGCCAAACACTCCTCAATTCTTTTATCATATGAAAGATATAGAGATATGTTTATCCCTTCCAGATAATGAGAATATGGAGCATCTGTCCTTTGTTACGTAATGTATGGTTTTCAAAAAGAACCATTCCACTTCCTGCTGTTATTATTCATTATATCATTATTAATATTTTTATTTTCTGTATTCCTAATTTATCCTACATATTTCTTTCTAAATATTTATGCATATCAAAGATGCAAACAGCAGGGGAATGGAGAGTGGGAATCAACAACGAAATTCATGATCTGTTTAAATCACCATTGATAAGTGGCCTCATGAGAGCTAATAGACTGAAATGGCTAAGGCATATAAGAGAATGTCAAACTAAAAAGAGTCAAAAATGGTATACACAAGGAAGATGAATAGTTGTAGACCACAAGGCAGACCAGTAAGAGGATAGAGAGATAATATCCAGACAGACATGCAAACACTTGGTGTTACCAACTTGAAAGAGGAAGCCAGCCAGAGAGATTTATGGAGGTGGGTGATATCTGCAGCAATCAACCTCACGGGCTCGGAATGCTGAAGAAGAAAAAGAAAATATATTTATAGCTTTTTTTGGGGTCTAGAAAAAGAGGTGCCAGTACTCACCACATGTTGTCCAAAAAAGTGCTTGTACTCACCACAGAATATCTGTTTTTTATAATGAAAACAGAATTGCGGTCCTAATAAAGGTGTCTGTACTGGGACCATTGTGTACCACCAGAAATTAAGCCTTGGCTGCAAGAAAACTTGCTTGCAGAGAATACCACAAATTAAACAAATGACCCACTTCAGTCATAGAATCAACTTATGATCACCTTTGATATTGGAAAACATTGTGAAAACAGATAGGTAAGATATTCTGTTGAGAACATATATCATATCATCATCATCAAATGCTTTGCCCACTGGCGTGAAGGATCATACATCTCCACAATCTGCATCTGCGCGTATCAGTTTGTGTGTTGACACCCCTCCAAGTCTTGAGAAAAGGCTGTCAAGAATCTTCTCATGTTGTCTTCCTGTCTCTCTTTCCGCAGATTTCTCCATGGGTCATAATATGTTACAGTTTCCTTCTTCTCATTAAATGATTAAAAAATGATTGTCTCTTACTGATATTTTTCTTTGAGCCCTCGCCTCCATACATTGCAACCTGGCCATAAACAGCAATACAACCAGCAAATGCAATTTTAAGGCCAAATGCAGAGAAAGAAGAATTTGTGGGCTATCCTCCTAATAACGGTCCCAAATTATTGAGGCTAAGAAAATACCCTAACAGTAGCTCAATGCTTTTAACTGTGCCTTCAGGAAACTGCGCTAAATATTCAGTAAACAACGAGCGACTAGGGTCCGCTGTGGTAACGTCGTGTCCACGTAAGTTATATCCATAACCCTTTAATCGCGTGTCGCGGTTCCACTGTTGTGACAGATTCTGGTGGCAGTGTCATAATTGCAGTACTCCTGGCCTTAACCCTAACCCTAGGGGAGAAGTTGAACCTAGGACCCAGGGGAGAATTTAAACCTAGGACCCAGGGGAGGAGTTAAACCTAGCATTCAGTGTCAGAGCTGTTGACACCTCCGATGATTTGAGACCAGTATTCGGAGGAGACCTTGCCACAGAATGTTTTAAATTCGCTGGAAAGAAGTCAGCAATTTACATATGATTAAGGCCCTGTTAGGGTATTTGTTTAGCCTCCATAATTTGGGACTGTTATTCGAAAGATAGCCGATTTGTGAATTAAACTTGCAAGTAATCTACATAGCCTTGATAAGGTTAAAGTATTTTTATAAAAGCATTGATGTTGATGACTGTTAATTTCTGTGCCGGGTTAGCATAGTCGACAGGAGACTCACTTTCAAATCCAGCTGCGACTCGCTGCAGCCCATGGCTGATGTTCGAAACCAGGTGGTTCCCTGGGTTCACCCAGCCTCTAGGTAATGGGTACCAGAGTCAACACTTTGGGGTAAATGGAGGGACGTCACTGTAGCTACAGAGTTGCGTGCGGAGGGCAGCACAGGCAGGCAGTTTCTTATCAGCTGTCCGTACTGGTGGCAGAGCACTTATGGTTTATAACCGTGTGTAGTAACGCTGGTTCACATCTCTCGACTTTACCTTTACCTTTTTTACTGTTAATTTCTTTTCACAGACAGACCATGATTTCACGTTTTGGTCGGAATAGTATTGCTTTACCAAACAGAGCTGATAATCCAGTCATGCCAGTTAGGTGGCGTTCAAATGCGTTATCGCTGACAAAAGTTAGAAGATCTTGCTATCCAAGGATGTATCCAACGATGCTGGTATTTCCTGATGGTAGTACAATCAACGTTCGGTACAAAGAACCTCGCAGAATAATTAAGGTATTTATGGCAAATATCTTTATTCTTATAAATGTCTGAAATTTTGAATGCATTCAGAATCCAGTAGCTCATTGAGTCCTATACTAACACTTCCACATTGTATGTGTATTCCCTGTGTGGGTTCTAGGGCTCCTTTTTGTGGGAGGGGCGGGGGGGATGACCACTGCCCCCCTGGGAGCTGTTGTGATGTAGTGGCTTTGAGGTTGACGCAGCCTTGAATGGGTACCAAGTATAGTCCTGGGAAGTAAAAAGTGACCGGCATGATGCTGACCGCATCATTCACTGAGTGCCGATTGGTCTGTAAAATAGAAGTCTAGCCCTATATGCCTAATATACTTGAAGGCGTGGAAAAAGGTGCTTTACTTTTACTGCCATCCTAACAAGAATGTTGTGAAAGATGGCTAATTAGGGGTGTTTCCTTAAAAACTGGAGTGCATCTTCCTGAGAGGTAAGAAACAAAATGTCCAGGACTCTGCTGTTAGTAATTCTTGTACTGCATTGTGTGCAACGAGAGCAGCTCTAAGTTCAATCTAACATTGTCGATAGATAGCAAGAAGTGTTCTTTTTACAATGTTCAAGTGGCATTATACTGACCTAATTACCCATTTATGCTTTTTGTTTACTACTGTTTTTTTTTCATTTGCTTTTCAATGGAACATTAGAATATTGTGCACCCCCGTGTGGGTTCCGGGGCCCTATTGTAGGGAAAACAAGAATAGACCCACTGCCTCCCCAAAAGCATGTCGTAAGAGTTGACTAATTGGGGAGCTTCCTTTGAAGTCGGAGTGCATCTGCCTGAGAGGCAAGGAACCAGCAGTCTGCATTCAATTGAATCAGATCTGTAAAACTGATGCACACGCAACACTCAGGTTCTGGAGCAGGACTGCAGTCCAGAAGTGGACGAACAACCAGAACTTTACGCCAGAGTGTACAGCTGGTAAACGCGAAGAAGAAGAAGAATATTGTGCAGTTGTTTACAGCTAGGCTGTGATATCTGCAAATTTCGGCCCACTGTATTTAATTTCACCAAACCCTTCATTAGACGTCTTTTATGACATACTTATTAATGGGCAGTGTTCTGTTTTATGTCCTTCTTATTGCGACCCCATAATTTACACACAAAAATATTGATCCAGTATAGTTCTTTGAATGCTTAGATGGTATATAATAGTGCTGTTTTAATTTCAGTAGTTTTGAGTTCATAATGAATACGTAGATAGGTTTAGATATTAATAAGTTAATTATATGATCCGTCTTCATCTCTGTTTATAGATTCTACAAACTTGTTTCTTTTGAGCTGTCCCCTTCCAAGACAAGATTATTTGAACAGAAGTAGATTACTCAGAAAGTTTTTAAAGCTCCCTGATTAACATGTTAGATGTCCATCATATGTCATTCTTTTATGATAATAATACTTGAATAGATTTCCTGATAATTTTTTTAATATTTTGACTGCATTTTTTGTCACCAGCTGCCAGTAGACTTTTCCAAACTTACAGAAGAAGAGAAGAAGAGAGTTCTGACAAACAGAAAGCCCAAGCAGAAATTAGAAAAGATTGAAGAGTTTGATGAGAGCTACGACCTTAGTGAATACAGCAAATTCTTCAAAAGTTGAACACAAATCTGTTATTTAGACATTTGCTATGTTATAATTATATTTAGTGACAGTCATAGGCTATTTAGGGTTACTGAATATTAATTTTTCAGCCTTATTTAATCTTGATTGTTTCTTGATTGTACTGAACAGGTTGTGTTTGCTTTTACTCACACAAAACCGAAGCAGAAATTAGAAAAGATAGTTTGGAGAGACACATGACCTAAGTGGATGTAGCAAGTTCTTCCAGTGTTGACACAAACATTTGACATTTGATTCATAAGGATCATCTTCACTAACAGTGATTGACTGTTTCAGCTTTATTGAATCTTGAAAGTGCTAAATCTCTTTTCATTCTTTGAGTGCTTCTGGAGTAATATGTTCTTTCAGAATCATGGGGAGTGCTAGAAACAGTCCTTATTCTTCTTCTTCTGCTTTCATGGCTGTGAACTCAGATGGAAAGTCCTGACTGTTCATCCATGTCCAAACTTTGGTCTTGTTGCAGCATGTGAAAGTTGCATGCACATTCATCTTACAGACTTGGCTTATTTTTGTGCAGACTATTGGTTCCTCACCTCTGAGGCAGATGCTTATTAATGTGCAGACTATTGGTTCCTCACCTCTCAGGCAGATGGACTCTGACTGAAGGAAACATCAGTCCTATCTATGTTGGCCAGGCCACCAATAGAGAACTTGTATTTAGGACGACCACAGAGAAGTGTAGATGTATCGTGACCATTTTGAGACCTGGTCCTGGTGCAACAACTGCATGTATTTATTCACCCTTGCATCTCATTTGCTAGCAATGAAACAACATGATAGAAGTAAAGTGTGGTTTCATAAGAAGATCACTAGTAGTGAACTATTCATTTTTCCTGTAACCTCTTAAAGATGCAGCAGAGTGAATTATTCTTTGTAGACCTTAGTATTTTTGGACGTAGCTTGAGCAAATTTAAAGAGAGAAAAAAACAGTGCTGATCCAAAAGGTTAGGCATATGCTTCTGTTTAGAAGATAAATAATCATTGACTTCCATTGAATATCAGAAAGTAAGTGCTGGCATGTTGTGGTCTGATGTATGGGTGTGAATTTTTGCAGTGAAAATCAGCAGTGAATTGTGAAGGCCCTGGTAATGTAGTTACTAATAAAAATCTTGTAAACGTCAAATAACCAAAGTAACTAGCAGTTGTTGTCTAAAAACAATTTTTATAAACATAGAACACCCTACACAACTGTAAGAAAAGGACAGGTAGTTCACCTGGTTCAAATGATGTGAAGATAGACATTGTGATCACTGGAGAGATCAGTATTTATTTCTATTTTGTTGTCAGGACTGAAGACTGCCTTTTATTTCAGAAATCACTGACAGTTTACAAGAAGTTGAACAACAACAACAATAACAAAAGACATTTTTGCAGACACAGATTACTGCAGACTACCTCTCATGACTTGCCTATCAACTAGTAGGCCACCTTTGACGCATTGGTCACCCGTAGTCTAAGATGATATATAATATGTATATTATCAGTAGAATACTAAAAACCATGATCTGTCAGAACACCTATGCCATCCGACAAGGCACATGATGATGATAATGATGATAGTGATGAGCATTCACCAAAGGTTGTAAACTGAATTTAATTCAAGACTCATTGTCATTGTACTATAAACTATCTAATTCTTCTTGGATCTTCGCTTGGTTTAATCACACAAACAGTGCTTCATCTAGATGATTGAATTCCATAACACCAGTAAAGATCCTATAAAGGGTGTAGTTACAGTCAGACAAATCTGAAGAGGATGAGTTAAAAATGATGTGTACATGTCTGTTGAGAAGCTGCAGTAATTGAGCAATAATTTTTGTTTTCTTCAAGTTCTTACATTGCTTGTATGGGGAGCCGCCATGGTGAAGCATCCAGACACTCGCTTGCGAATCGGAAGATCACGGGTTCAGGTCCTGATGGAGCCGGACTTTTTTTAAACGTTACATTGGCTCCCAGGTCGGCACAGCCTTAAATGGGTAAGAGGTAGGTCCTGGAAAGTAAAAGTGGTTGGCATGATCCTGACCACATCACACACCAAGTGCTGATTAGTCTAAAATATAGATATAGCCCTATATGCCCAATGCGGCTCACGGTGGGGAAAAGGGTCCTTTACTTTTTACTTTAAATTATCTGTATATTGAAATTATCAATTTTTAGAGGCCTCAGAGATGTGGTTTTACAGAAAAATGTTTAGAATACCTTGGACAGCCAAAAAGAGCAACCAAGAGGTTTTGAAAGAGGCGGGAGCCCAAAGACAACTTATCACAGACATCAGAAGGAGACAGTCATCATTTTTCGGCCATGTTATGAGAAGAGGGAAAATAAAACATGTTGTGACCATTGGAAAGATCTGTGGAAGGAGTGATAGAGGAAGACAACGAGAGAAGATTCTTGAGTCTTGTATGGCATGGAGGTGTGTCAGCACACGAACTGATACATGCTGCAGGAGATGGCAGATTATGGAGAGGCATGATCACTCACGCCAGTTTGCAAAGCACCTGATGATGATGATGATATTGAAATATATAAAAGATCGTTTCGGAATCTGTGTGGCTTGGGCATGTAGAATTGAGAAGCTGGTTAGTTAGTTGTGTATTTACTGAACCAGCCTCAGCATTTGATAGCTGTCTATGGCTTTACTAGGCATTTTTTACATTCAGTAGTTTGCCATTGCTTCTTGAAGAAACATCTTTCGATAACTTTATCGAAATCAATGCAAAGCAGTCAGCTGTCAAAATGCCTACATCTGGAATTCTCTTCTTCTTTTTCTTCTTCGCATTCACCAGCTGTAAACTCTGGCAGAAAGTTCTGGTTGTTCATCCACTTTTGGACTGTAGTCCTGTTCCAGAACCTGAGTCTTGGGTGTGAGTCCATTTTACAGATCTAACTCATTTGTATGCAGACTGCTGGTTCCTTGCAGATGCACTCCAACTTCGAAGGAAGCTCCCAGTTAGTGGACTTTTACGACATGCTTTTGGGTAGGCAGTGGGTCTATTCTTTTTTTACCCCCTAAAATAGGGCCCCGGAACCCACACAAGGAAAATCTGGAACTGAATCAGGTATAACAGAATTAAAAACTGTATTTGCAACCCTTCAGCCACAGAAGGTGACCGAGAAGGTGGGGTTAAGCAGTTGTATCTCTCAACTCTTTCAGTCCCAAAATATCCTATATGAGTGACCTGTGTACAGTGCTTGTTCTCTTACTTTTAACATTTGGTCAAAACATGCTAAAGAAATCATACTCCCCACCCTTAGTCACAAATAGTGTGTGTATCAAAACTTTGAAAGTAATGAATTTCTAATTGTTTGTTTATCATGATAATTTCTTCACTTTGATATCTCCTTTGAAATGTTCTGGTTAAATGTATAGATAGGAAACCAAAGCAGTGTGCAGTCATCAGCACCCTTACCTATGAGCCCAGCAGTCAAGGGTTCAAATCTGTATCAAGGCAGATTTCTAAAATTGATCTTATCAACCCAGCCTAAATTAGGTACTATAAAATTTCTTGGGAAGTAAAGGGCGCCATCATTGTATTGACCACATCACATATTGAGTGCCATTGACTGGCTCTCATCAAAGCACAAGATATGTCTTTTTATTAATTATACTTGTTTTTACATTAGCAGTGCTATTCAGGTGTGTGAACATAAATGTTCGTCTTTTCATTAGTATTTGTATGGCTTCTGTTGTGTGGCTTGTGCATGGTCAGAAGATTGAGTTAACTCACTACAAAGAGAAAAAAAATTGACTGACTGATTGTGTGTCCCCTCCAGGCCAAAGAGTTGACATCCTGAAATTGTAAAATCTCAGTTTGGATGGCAGACCAACAGAGCGAATTCCAGATACCCTGTTCAACTTCCAAAGAAGTTATAATTGATGCACCCATATTGTACCCGCTGTGGTCTACCCACAGTCCTGTGCCGGTGAGGGATATGTTTTTGTATACAGAAAAGCAGAATAAACTGATAACAAAAACATCTTGTGATTTATGATTTGGATTATCTTCACAGGACTCCAGACACATCCTAAGATGGTGAGATTCTCCCTTTAATGTAATCATCCACGCCATGCGGTTAATAGTGCCAGTTTTGATAAGATTGCTGGTTGACAAGATTTTGTGTGCATTTGATGGACCTTTTATGCTTGTCTGTGTCGATCTTTACTCTCATTTCTTGTATTCTTAGCAGTGATGTGGTATGTTATGTGAAATACTGTTTTTACCAATTTTATGACATGAAACCAATAAATATATTCTACGTTTGGTGCTAATTTTAATTTCCTTTCTTCTTCTTCAGCATTCTGAGCTCTTGAGGTTCATTGCTGCAGATATATATTATCCATTCATCTTTCTAGTTGGCCTTCTCTTTCCAGTTAGTGACACCAGGTGTTTGCAGGTCTGTCTGGACATTATCTCTCCATCTTCTTCTTGGTCTGCCTTGTGGTCTACAACCATTTATCTCCATTGTGTATAGAGTTGTTACTTTTCTGTCATCTGACATTCTTTCAATATGCCCCAACCATGTCAGTCTATTAGCTCTCATGATGCCAGTGATCAGTGGTGATTTAAGCAGATTATGAATTTCGTTATTGCTTCTCACTCTCCATTCTCCGCATTTGTTTCTTTGATGGGTCCACAGATTCATCGTAAGACTCAAGAATTATTAATATAGGAAGCTGTCACTATCAAATGCCTTACCGACTGGCATAGTCGTCTCCACTGCCTGGGGTCTCACTAGCATGTATCAGTTTGTGTATCGACAGGCCTCCGTGCCATAATAAAATGCTGTCTTGCATTGTCTTCCTCCGTCTCTTTTTCTACAGATCTTTCCAGTGGTCACAATGTGTTCCAGTCTCCTTCATCTTATGACGTAATCAGAAAATGATAACTTTTTTTTTCCTTTGCTTGTGATAAGTTGTCATTGCGCCCTCACCTCTCTCAAAACATTTGGGTTTCTCTTTTTGGCTGCTCAAGAAACTC